ACATTCAAAGATCAAGTAACGGGACAAAGCTTTTCAACGGTTATAAACGAAAAATCACGATTTAACGGTTATTTTAACTCCGATTTTGATGATTTTTTATAACTACACTCCTTGACCCTATATGAATACAATGAATGAATTCGATCTTCAATTTAAAATATTTACACAAGTGGATACCACAAAATCTTATGTTATACTTAATAAAAGTATAAATAAACTCTAAGTGTTAGTCAATCTATCGTTTTACGAATTCTCCGAAACTAATTTCAAAGATCCAAACCGTCAAAATTGTTTGTATATGCTTGGAGATCACATCAGCAAAAAATCACAAAAAAAAAACATTCAAAGATCAAGTAACGGGACAAAGCTTTTCAACGGTTATAAATGAAAAATCACGATTTAACGGTTATTTTAACTCCGATTTTGATGATTTTTTATAACTACACTCCTTGACCCTATATGAATACAATGAATGAATTCGATCTTCAATTTAAAATATTTACACAAGTGGATACCACAAAATCTTATGTTATACTTAATAAAAGTATAAATAAACTCTAAGTGTTAGTCAATCTATCGTTTTACGAATTCTCCAAAACTAATTTCAACGATCCAAACCGTCAAAATTGTTTGTATATGCTTGGAGATCACATCAGCAAAAAATCACAAAAAAAAAACATTCAAATATCAAGTAACGGGACAAAGCTTTTCAACGGTTATAAACGAAAAATCACGATTTAACGGTTATTTTAACTCCGATTTTGATGATTTTTTATAACTACACTCCTTGACCCTATATGAATACAATGAATGAATTCGATCTTCAATTTAAAATATTTACACAAGTGGATACCACAAAATCTTATGTTATACTTAATAAAAGTATAAATAAACTCTAAGTGTTAGTCAATCTATCGTTTTACGAATTCTCCAAAACTAATTTCAACGATCCAAACCGTCAAAATTGTTTGTATATGCTTGGAGATCACATCAGCAAAAAATCACAAAAAAAAAACATTCAAATATCAAGTAACGGGACAAAGCTTTTCAACGGTTATAAACGAAAAATCACGATTTAACGGTTATTTTAACTCCGATTTTGATGATTTTTTATAACTACACTCCTTGACCCTATATGAATACAATGAATGAATTCGATCTTCAATTTAAAATATTTACACAAGTGGATACCACAAAATCTTATGTTATACTTAATAAAAGTATAAATAAACTCTAAGTGTTAGTCAATCTATCGTTTTACGAATTCTCCAAAACTAATTTCAACGATCCAAACCGTCAAAATTGTTTGTATATGCTTGGAGATCACATCAGCAAAAAATCACAAAAAAAAAAACATTCAAAGATCAAGTAACGGGACAAAGCTTTTCAACGGTTATAAACGAAAAATCACGATTTAACGGTTATTTTAACTCCGATTTTGATGATTTTTTATAACTACACTCCTTGACCGTATATGAATACAATGAATGAATTCGATCTTCAATTTAAAATATTTACACAAGTGGATACCACAAAATCTTATGTTATACTTAATAAAAGTATAAATAAACTCTAAGTGTTAGTCAATCTATCGTTTTACGAATTCTCCAAAACTAATTTCAACGATCCAAACCGTCAAAATTGTTTGTATATGCTTGGAGATCACATCAGCAAAAAATCACAAAAAAAAAACATTCAAAGATCAAGTAACGGGACAAAGCTTTTCAACGGTTATAAACGAAAAATCAAGATTTAACGGTTATTTTAACTCCGATTTTGATGATTTTTTGTAATTACACTCCTTGACCCTATATGAATACAATGAATGAATTCGATCTTCAATTTAAAATATTTACACAAGTGGATACCACAAAATCTTATGTTATACTTAATAAAAGTATAAATAAACTCTAAGTGTTAGTCAATCTATCGTTTTACGAATTCTCCAAAACTAATTTCAACGATCCAAACCGTCAAAATTGTTTGTATATGCTTGGAGATCACATCAGCAAATAATCACAAAAGAAAAACATTCAAAGATCAAGTAACGGGACAAAGCTTTTCAACGGTTATAAACGAAAAATCACGATTTAACGGTTATTTTAACTCCGATTTTGATGATTTTTTATAACTACACTCCTTGACCCTATATGAATACAATGAATGAATTCGATCTTCAATTTAAAATATTTACACAAGTGGATACCGCAAAATCTTATGTTATACTTAATAAAAGTATAAATAAACTCTAAGTGTTAGTCAATCTATCGTTTTACGAATTCTCCAAAACTAATTTCAACGATCCAAACCGTCAAAATTGTTTGTATATGCTTGGAGATCACATCAGCAAAAAATCACAAAAAGAAAAACATTCAAAGATCAAGTAACGGGACAAAGCTTTTCAACGGTTATAAACGAAAAATCACGATTTAACGGTTATTTTAACTCCGATTTTGATGATTTTTTATAACTACACTCCTTGATCCTATATGAATACAATGAATGAATTCGATCTTCAATTTAAAATATTTACACAAGTGGATACCACAAAATCTTATGTTATACTTAATAAAAGTATAAATAAACTCTAAGTGTTAGTCAATCTATCGTTTTACGAATTCTCCAAAACTAATTTCAACGATCCAAACCGTCAAAATTGTTTGTATATGCTTGGAGATCACATCAGGAAAAAATCACAAAAAAAAAAACATTCAGAGATCCAGTAACGGGACAAAGCTTTTCGACGGTTATAAACGAAAAATCACAATTTAACGGTTATTTTAACTCCGATTTTGATGATTTTTTATAACTACACTCCTTGACCCTATATGAATACAATGAATGAGTTCGATCTTAATTTAAAATATTTACACAAGTGGATACCACAAAATCTTATGTTATACTTAATAAAAGTATAAATAAACTCTAAGTGTTAGTCAATCTATCGTTTTACGAATTCTCCAAAATTAATTTCAACGATCCAAACCGTCAAAATTGTTTGTATATGCTTGGAGATCACATCAGCAAAAAATCACAAAAAAAAAAACATTCAGAGATCAAGTAACGGGACAAAGCTTTTCGACGGTTATAAACGAAAAATCAAGATTTAACGGTTATTTTAACTCCGATTTTGATGATTTTTTATAACTACACTCCTTGACCCTATATGAATACAATGAATGAATTCGATCTTCAATTTAAAATATTTACACAAGTGGATACCACAAAATCTTATGTTATACTTAATAAAAGTATAAATAAACTCTAAGTGTTAGTCAATCTATCGTTTTACGAATTCTCCAAAACTAATTTCAACGATCCAAACCGTCAAAATTGTTTGTATATGCTTGGAGATCACATCAGCAAAAAATCACAAAAAAAAAACATTCAGAGATCCAGTAACGGGACAAAGCTTTTCGACGGTTATAAACGAAAAATCACGATTTAACAGTTATTTTAACTCCGATTTTGATGATTTTTTATAACTACACTCCTTGACCCTATATGAATACAATGAATGAGTTCGATCTTTAATTTAAAATATTTACACAAGTGGATACCACAAAATCTTATGTTATACTTAATAAAAGTATAAATAAACTCTAAGTGTTAGTCAATCTATCGTTTTACGAATTCTCCAAAACTAATTTCAACGATCCAAACCGTCAAAATTGTTTGTATATGCTTGGAGATCACATCAGCAAAAAATCACAAAAAAAAAAACATTCAGAGATCAAGTAACGGGACAAAGCTTTTCGACGGTTATAAACGAAAAATCAAGATTTAACGGTTATTTCATTTTCGAGTGTAGATATAGTACTTGAACGAGAAATGTTTTAATGTTTTCAAGTAATATTTATGTCGCAATGTGTGGTATGTGCAAATTGTAAAAAAATATATTTTTTTCTTAACGGGTCATAACGGGTCGGGTCACTTTACCCGTTGGGTAAAGTGACACGACCTGTTAAGGACCCGTTAAGATAACGGGTGTGACACGACACGACCCGTTAAGATAACAGGTGTTACACGAAAACGACACGAACACGACAGACACGACCCGTTTGCCAGGCCTGGGCACAGTCCTTCACGTGATGTTCACCTCCCGCACCACACGCTCAGCTTGGATCCAAGTTAGGTGCACAGACCTGTCGTACAGACCACTATAGGTGGTTCCGACTCGTAGGTGACCCGCGATTATTCGCCCAGCCTTCACGTGATCGTAGCACTAGAGCGTATATATGTATTACACCCAGGTCTGTCGTACAGACCACTTTAGGTGGTTCCGACTCGTGTGGAGGTTCAGATAGTGAGATTGAGATTTGAGCTCTAGATGCAGCCGTACAGGTCACGTTAGGTGACTCCGGCTGCCAGATTATATGTTATTGATATGATTTATACCTGAGCACTTGCATTTCATTATGAGGCTTTGGCATGGCATATTCTTGAGCATGATTGGCATATATACTATACGTATATCTATTTTCTGGGAAGTATACAGGTTTTACGGCGAGGGGTTAGAAAGTATTTTTATAAATGGTTTTCGAAAGCTTTGTTTTTGCCCACTCACGCTTTTGTTTTGCGCCCCTCCAGGTTCTAGTTGCCTAGCAGGTTCGATGGTTTCCCTGAGGGTTTTCCCGGCATTTCTGACAGACACTCACCAGCGTAGGGTCACCTTCGGGTGTACTGTTGTCGCATCATTTTCTTTTGGACTGCTGTAGACTTATTGCTCTGAACTTAGCGTCTTACTTACGCTAGCACTTGTTTTTATCACTTTGTATGCTAGTTTTTAATTATTCGTACTTTTTATCACTATTTTTTTTTAGCTTCCGCACGTGCACATGGTTACGTCACCTTCGCGTGGCGGCCAGCACGCCCTAATCTCGGTCGGGGTGTGTCAGCTTTTTTGCTAAACGTTCTGTTGATTCTATCGACTTGCTATTTCAAAGTTTAGTTTTAAATTCAATGTTAAGTTTTACTTAATATTTATACCATATGTCCAGATTTTGCGATGAACGAATTAAAAAAGGATGTATCTGGAGAGATGTCTTCAACTACAAAGCTTTTTGGAATGGAAGGGATAGGAAAGAAAAAGATTTCAGGTATATCATTCAAGGATTTTTGCTATTCGTTTTGTATTATTTTCTTTTCCTAAAGATTTCTGTATTTCTACATTACGTCTTATAGTTTTAGACTTTCAGGACCTGAATTGAATGCCGAAATTCGAAACTTGTGAGAATGTTGAATAACTACTTACTACTTGTATTTGATTATCTCGGATATAATTTGTGTCTCAATAGAAAATCAAAACTCGTGGAATGTTGATTAAGTATGTTACTTACCATTTGTGTTTAATTATTTAGGAGATAATTAATGTCTCATTCGAAATTCGGAACTTGAGTGAATGTTGATCAACTATGTTAGTCACCATTTGTGTTTAATTATCTAGGAGATAATTTATGTCTCATTCGAAATTTGAAACTTGTGTAAATGTTATCAACTATGTTTGTAAGCACTTTGTTTAATTATCTAGGAGATCATTTCTCATTCAGACAGTAAACGTTTTGAAGATTATTTCACAAATATAAAAGATATCTTGGAGAAGCTTCTGTCTGAACTTATTTATTGGTGGAAACCGAGCCTAGAAATAACATTTTTCATCCCCATTTTGGAGCTAGCTTGCTAGAAACTGGAAAATGTGATAATTTTGAGCATCTCTAAATATCTCTTTCTTTTTCTTTTCATAGGATAATTCTGGTTTGTTTAAAAACCTTTTACAAGAACTGATGCAGAAGGAAAGCTTGTCTGGTGTACCTCACATGCCAGTTTTTGTTTCATTAGTGGAAATAGAAGGAGAAACTTTTATGGGTCAAGAAGCAATATACAAAAAGTGTAAGTGTATTTTACTAGCTGCAAATTAGTGTCAGCGGCTGAGTATTTATATTCTTTTTAATTTATTACTTTGTTTTTCTATGTAAATTTGAGTGTAATGATGTAAAAACTATAAGCTCTTTATAAATATAGTTTAGTATGAATAATAATTAGTCATGATGTACCCTATTGGGATTTTGTAGCCGTTTCGGCATTATTATTTATTTAATAATATTCTTATTATCTCGTAGTCTTGTTTGCAACAACAAAACTCCACTTGACACTAATAACAAGTGATAGATATAATTAAGTTGCACAATCGCGAGTCCTTATAAATTAGAATTGAACTCGCATCATCTTGGGAGTGAAAAATTAAGATATTTCATTAACAAAATATTACTGGTAATTGATTATCACCTAATATTACACTTGCTAGAAGATTTATGGTTAAAAAAAATATTACTAGTAGATTTTGAGAATTCGAAGATTGATACCAGCAGGGTTCTTAAAGTTCTTCGAGAAGATGGCCCTGGTTTTGATACAAAGGCGGCTGTGGTTGAGTTGCGTATAGAGGTTTCAGGGCTTCCTGTGAGGGAAGATGGAATATGGGAGTAAAATTACAAGCAGACAGCAAACACATATGTGGAGGTTGGTTGATGAGATGATTGAGAAAAGGGTATCCAACTACTGCACATACGTTCAACATTTTGATACGCACTTGTGGTTGTGGTGAGGCAGGCTTGGCTAGGAAAGTTGTGGAAAGATTCATCAAATCGAAGACGATTAACCATAGGCCATTTAAACACTCATACAATGCAATTTTGCATTCCCTTCTTGTGGTGAAGCAGTACATGTTGATTGAATGGGTCTATCAACGGATGACAAAGCACGACTGCATGCCGGATGTTGTTTGTTACACTGTAATGCTCACCGGTTATATTGTGGCTGGGGAGCTTGAGACGGCCCAAGGAGTGTTTGATGAGATGATCCCTAATGGGCAGCTTCCGAATGTATTTATATACAATGCTATCATTCGTGGGATTTGTATGGCAAGAAAGTTTGAGGAAGTGTGCTTCGTGCTCAACTCAAGGTTATGGAATCCAGAGGCTCCAATCCAAATTTTACCGTGCACAACATCTATAAGTTATTTGCGAAATGTTGAAAAGCTTGCTGAAGCTCATAAAGTAATAACACATATGATGAAGAAAAGGCAATATGTCCATCTACTATCAAAATTCAAAGGGTACAAGACATTAAATTAAAACGGTAAATTCTTTTATTTGCATCATTTACTTGCAATCTTGCATGAAGAAATTAATTGATTTAGCTTGGTTAACAATATGCAGATGAAATCTAGAACTAATTAGTTCAATTTTGTGATTTTGTTGTGCTTCTATAGTGTCTGCCATATCATTTAAAACTATGAACTTGACAAAGAAAGTAATATCACCCGAATCATTTTTCTCAATCCACACAGACAAATAAACCTAAATAAATAGAACTTTCGTTGTTATTTTCCAACAAAAATAAATAGGAATAGAAAGAATATACATAAAAATAAAACCAACCTTGAATAGAAAGAATCTCCATATAAAGATTTCAAATGGGGTGAAGTTCCGATCCAATAATGCAATACCATATGGAAAAAATTTATGCATGATATTATATTATTAGATTAAAACGCTATAGTGACAGTAATATCCACCCATTCCATATAACTTCTTGTTGTTAGGGGTGTGTAGAGTTGATGGTTTGAGAAGGATTGCCGTTGTTTTTGGAAGCGAAAAAAACAAGGATTGCTCTAGAAACCATGTAAAACTTAAGAACACAAGATTTCACTTCAATGGCATACCTGTTGGAGGATGAAGAGGAGTTCGTCTAAGCCACACAATGAGCAATCTAATTTGGTATCAAATTCGCACTTCACGATATTCGAACCGAAGATCTCTTATTTACAAGTAAAGAGAAATATTATTTGACCATCGTACTGAATGGCATGATGCATATATTTATATTAATGGTTTCAAGATTACATTCAGAGTTTGAAAAACTCTAATTACATTGAACATTTGAAATTCAAAATACAAACAAAAATCAAACAAAGGATTATACGCTTTAGCTTATAACAAACATTTGAAAACAAGTCCCACAAACATGGAATAACTGAAAAGATAAGAGTTCCAAGTGAAGCAAAACTCCTCGAGTTACGTTAACGGTGTTGAAAAATACTATTATTTTATAGTTATTTGATTATTTAGGTTTGCTTGTTAGTTTAATATATGGACCTAGCTCATTCGAATTAGGGTTTCTAGGTTTTGCTCTTTATAAATATAGCTTATAGTTTAGTATGAATAATAAGTTAGTCACGATATAACTTATTAGGATTTTGTAACCGTTTCGCCTTTCTTGTTTATTTAATAATATTCTTATTATCTTGTAGTCTTGTTTGCAACATCAAAACTCCTCTTGACAATAACAAGTGATAGATATAATTAAGTTGCACAATCGCGAGTCCTTATAAATTAGAATTGAACTCACGTCATCTATGGGAGTGAAAAATTAAGATATTTCCTTAACAAAATATTACTGGTAATTGATTATCACCTAATATTACACTTGCTAGAAGATTTATGGTTAAAAAAAAATATTACTAGTAGATTTTGAGAATTTGAAGATTGATACCAGCAGGGTTCTTAAAGTTCTTCGAGAAGATGGCCCTGGTGTTGATACAAAGGTGGCTGTGGGTGAGTTGCGTATAGAGGTTTCAGGGCTTCCTCTGACGGAAATTCTGTTTGAATTTTTGAAGCAGATGGATTATGGGAGTAAAATTACAAGCACACAGGAAACACATATGTGGAGGTTGGTTGATGAGATGATTGAGAAAAGGGTATGCAACTACTGCACATACGTTCAACATTTTGATACGCACTTGTGGTGACACAGGCTCCAATCCAGAGGCAAGAAAGTTTGAGGAGGTGGATGGCAAGAAAGTTTGACGATTTGTATGGCAAGAAAGTTTGAGGAAGTGTGCTCCATGCTCAAGGTTATGGAATCCAGAGGCTCCAATCCAAATTTTACCGTGTTCAACATCTATAAGTTATTTGCAAACTGTTGAAAAGCTTGCTGAATCTCATAAAGTAATAACACATATGATGGAGAAAAGGCAATATGTCCATCTATTTTCAAAATTCAAAGGATACAAGACATATTAAAACGGTAAATTCTTTTATTTGCATTATTTACTTGCAATCTTGCATGAAGAAATTAATTGATTTAGCTTGGTTAACAATATGTAGATGAAATCTAGAACTAATTAGTTCAATTTTGTGATTTTGTTTTGCTTTTGTAGTGTGCCATATCATTTAAAACTAGGAACTTGACAAACAAAGTAATATCACCCGAATCATTTTTCTCAATCCACACAGGCAAATAAACCTAAATAAATAGAACTTTTGTTGTTATTTTCCAACAAAAATAAATAGGAATAGAAAAAATAAAACCACCCTAGAATAGAAAGAATCTCCATAGAACGATTTCAAATGGGGTGAAGTTCTGATCCAATAATGCAATAAAATTTATACATAATATTATATTATTAGATCAAAACGCGATAGTGACAGCAATATCCACCCATTCCATATAACTTATTCTTTTTTTATTTGCTAATAATAACTTTTATAGTACGATTACACGACTTTTGTATCATTGACGGCAAAGTAGGATTCTTTCCATTCCTATTACCATCCTCTTCTATCCCCTCCTCTCACACTTTTTTTTTATATCTTATTCTCTATATAAAAAGGGGTGTGCTATCCACACATCTCATTTTACTTCTCACACACCTCTTAATAATTTATGTCCGTTGATATTCTTCAATTCATCCGATCCGACGGTCAAAAATTAAAAAAGTGTGTGAGAAGTAAAATAGGGTGTGTGGATATCACAACCCTAGAAAAAAATTCAAAACAAAATGCAAACGTTGTATAATCGTAACCATTTAAATAGGAGGAATAGAAGGAGGAGAAATTAGGATGGAAGAAAATCCTATTCAAAATGATGTTAAGTGAATATAATTTGCTGTAAAGAGCCATGATAATCGTCATAATGATGTCACAATTTAATAATATATTATTACGTGAAAGACCAAAAACAGACACTTCACATTACACTTTTAGACAGAGAAATCATGTGACTGAATACGATCCCATCGCTACTGTAGAATACGTGGCTTGCCGCTTTTTTTGTAGAAAGTAACATGATTTATTTCTATGTATTATACAAGGTAAAGTTATTCATATATTCATTTTTTTAATATTTAATTAATTATTTTGTATATTATAAATTTAATATATCAGATTGTATTTTCAATACATTGACAAATTTCTGTTTCTACAGAGTCAAATCCTATTTAATTAAATTTAAAAAATAATGTCATATCACGGATCCTTTTACAAAGTTACCAAACTAATAATAGAAGCATTTTTGTAAATTCACACTCGATTCATCCAACCTACGTGGTGCACCTAATGCTACAGCGCAAACTTTGGTTGGTCAAGTCTTCCAGCAAGGACTCTTGCCCAAAGATGACAGCCCTGTAGCGATGGAGCTTTGTCATCAGTCTCCGGTGTAGTCCCATCAGCAAGAGGCACGGGTTGCGCAGAGGGCAACGTGGGTGATAGTGCCAACTCTGGGTGGCCACAGAAACAGCGGGCAGCAAAGGTGGAGCAGTGAGGATCCTCGTCGGATCCTATTTGCGAAGTTTCTGAAAATTCTCAAATCATAGTTATTTATTTTACATTGCGATAATAACTTATTGTAATTTTTTAGTTAAAATTAAATATAAAAAAACATTTGATGAAAGCTGACTATAGGTTGTATGTTGCACGATAAACGAATATGATTGAAGAACTCTCAAGATCTTCATTAAAAAATCCGGTGAAAATCCTCTCTCAAAGTCGAGGTACCACGGGTACAAAAACCAAGTCATTTTGTACGACAGGGAGAAAGAAATGGGTAGTCATCCTCGTTGAGTCGAAGCCATTTCATCAGAAACCGTAAAGGCGTAAAGTTATAGATAAATAAATAAAAATAAAATAACACCACCCTTGAATTAAGTCTAGCAACGCCAAAAGTGAATAGGATGAATCTCCATATAAAGATTTCAAATTTATGAGGAGAGATTTCGTTTGGAAGACCTTTCTCAGATAAAGCAATGTACTCATGTATCTTTACGATTGAGATGTCAATTCAAAGTATTTGATCCAACAGAAAAAGATAACAATTCAAACAAAAATTCTTAGGTGCTCCGATTATCAGTATTTTCGGTGTTTTTACTATAAGATCTTGATTTATGTATTTTTTAAACAAAAATTTAACAGTTAAAACACTTAAAATATTAAATAATCTAGAGAACCAAGAAAGTCACTCTTCCTTAAATATGCTTGCTTCTCTAAAGCAGTTTATGGGAAACAGGTTAAATGTCGGGTGAAATTCCTATTTAATAACGTAATATTTTATGAAAATAATTTATGCATGATATTTTTTTTTTAACAAATGATAATATCTACATTAAAGTGAGGGGGTGGGCTTAGCCTCACAATAAGCTAACAATAATGTTGTCCAAATTCGCCTTTGGCAAGAATCAAACCTAAAACATTTCACTTACATTGTAGTACTAAGTGTCACATAATATTATATTATTAGATCAAAACGTTACAGTAACTATATATCTACCCATTTCATATTACTTTTACTTTTTTTAATTGCTAAGAATGACTTTTATAATACGAATATACAACTTTTGTATCATTGCTGGGATGGCATCATCAAGTAAATATAATTTGCTCTAAAGAGCTAGATCAATTTATATGAAATATGAATAAAAGCCATAATGTAAGTCCATCTTGTGCCTTGACCAAGTCTAATAATAAAAGCCAATTGACTAAGTACTAGTTTGGTACTGAGGTGCTTTTATAAAAAGTGAGTATAAAAAAAAAAGCTGAGCTAAAAAAGGTGTTTGGTAAACACTTAAAAACAGATTATTTTCACGATTTTTGGTGGAAAAAAAAAAGCTAAAAACGTGAAACAGCAAAAATGAGTTTATTCTCACAGCACAAGAAAAACAATTTTTTTTTTAAAATACAGTAATACCAAACCAACCCTAAGAGCTCATACAGAACCACTGAAATCGTAGCCTTGACGACAAAATAGTCAGAATGAACTTCGACATAGGAAAGCTCATTGTGTTTATTGTCCGCATCTCGGCCCACATATTCAATCTTTAATTATAGAAAGGGAAACGAATGATTGAATCTGGCCTCTTTGTCCTCCCTTCGACATTAAGTTGTGGATTCATTATCCATCATTTGGAAGACCCACAAAATCGCTTCTTTGGTGATTCTAATTGCAAACAAGGGACTTGGTTGTTCACGAAATCATATGCATTCCATTCAATGAACTTGTATGAAGTTGTCAATTCTCATTTAACTTTAATTTTAACCAATTACACTCTTTAACTTTTATAATTAATCGATTACTCCTTTGAAATTTTAATTTAAACCCATTATCCCCATAAACTTCTATAAATAGCCCATTACCCCTTGACGTTAGATTTTAAAAAATTTCATCCAAAATTTCATTCATCTTGATTACGGAAACAACTCATGACAACTGTATAAGGGCAAAATAATGGAAAATTGAATGAAAGTTTTTAAAATCTAAATGCCAGAGGGAGAATTGACTATTTATAAAAGTTCAGGGCGGAATTGGCTAAAATTAAAGTTCAAAGAGAAATTTACTAATTATAAAAGTTTAAAAGGGTAATCAGTTAAAATTAAAGTTCAGAAGAAAAATTGACAACTCTATACAAATTCAAGAGCAAATTAACAAATATCTCTTTTGTAAAATGAGCAGATGTTCAGTTTTTAACTCTCAAAATCATCCAACTTGCTTTTGTTTTGTTTCGGTATATGAAGCATCTTGTCGTGGTCACTAGTCACCGGTCACCGGTCACCGTCACGGCTAATCAAAGGTATAAAAATGTAAAAACCGAGACTCTAGGGCTGATTTTAAAAACCAACAAAAATAACGGGGTGTAAAATGTGATTACATATTATACCTAAGAAACTTACGGTGGTTGTGGCCGCAGCTGATCTCCCGTCCCCTTGAACCCTTTCCTGCTTCTCCCAAAACCCTCCCGACCCCCCAACGCTCTCGTTTCGGCGTCTCACAAAAATGGTGAGCAAGAGACAGAGAGAAGCTCGCAGGAAATTCAGAGCAGAACACCCAGAACTGGCTAAACAGCCAACGCCCCCAAAAGACCCAACCAAGAAGAAGGAGAAGAAGAGCTCCTTCAAGCGCAAGAAGGCACCCAGCGACCCAGCCAAATCCAGAAAAAACCCCCATAGAAAACACCCCCTCAGAGTGCCCGGCATGAAGCCTGGAGATAGCTGCTTCATCTGTAAATCCACCGAACATATCGCCAAGCTCTGCCCCGAGAAAGTTCAGTGGGACAAGCACAAGGTGTGGTCTTTTTTCAATTTTCTGATTTAGTTCGAGTTTTCTTTATCTGGGTATATCTCCGATTGATGAAACTTGGAATATGTTGTCAAATCGAAATTCATGTGGGTAACTGGGAAAATGGATTATAAATGCATATGACTTTGTGGGTATGTTTTGTTTTAGCTCTTAGTGATTGGAAATGGTGGTGGGTGCTCGAATCGAATTTGGTTTTTTGAATGGTTATTTGCAGAAAATAGTGGAATTGGTGTTTTTTTATTTGAAATATGGTTATTTATGGTGTGGAGACTGGACTGTGGAGTGGATGAAATTCCCGTTTTGATATTGTTGTGATTATCTGATTCTTGCAGATATGTTTATATTGTCGCCAACGTGGGCATAGCATCAAGAATTGCCTTAACAAGAAAGACGATTCCGTGGCTGAGAAGTTATGTTATAATTGTGGGGAAAATGGGCATTCGCTTTCTAATTGCCCCTATCCTCTTGAAGACGGTAACCCTTCTAATCATTTAGAGTGCATCAAATAGGTTTATTACTCGGATGATTCGTGCAGGAAACTTACTCGGATGATTCGTGCAGAAAACTGTGTTATGTGGTGTGTTTGTGTAGTAGTGTATCACACATCTCGCTCAACCGCTTTATACTCTGCATGACAGCATGCATTTGAAGTTTACATGAGCAATGCAAAGGTTTACATAGCATTACCGGACGTACTTTATTAGCAAGCACTAAGTTTGAACAATTTCCAGCTAAAATCATTTACCTTTACTGAATTTGGTAATCCCCGCGCTAAGTTATTTGAATGGAAGCTTGAAGAAACAGGAACTTGAATAGTTTGGAGGTTTTAAGTGAATTATTGTTATCCGGAACTGCATGCTACCGAAGAGAAGTCTTTCATTGTGTGTTATTTTTTGTTATCCAGATAAATACAAATGGGATATTTGTTTATCGTGTTTTTTATATTTCAAATTGTATATGTCATGTTGAAGCACATTTGATTATCAACCAAATTTATCATCAATTGGGTTTGATGGCTCTAATGAGGATCCGGTTACACATAGGACATAAGTCAATCTGGTGATTTGAACGTTTTTACTTTATGTCATCGCTGCGTTATTCATTTTGTTTATTTGGTAATGCAGGAGGAACTAAATTTGCCAAGTGCTTCATCTGTAATGGGACTGGTCACTTGAGCAAGAACTGCCCTCAAAATACTCATGGGATTTATCCAAAGGTAATTTGATTAACACCTGTGATTTGATTTCGGATTATCCCTTATGTTTGGGCCATCCAAGCCAATGTCCTCCGTGAATGAAATATGACACTTTCCGATATGATTTTCGTCTCTCAGGGTGGTAGTTGCAAAATGTGTGGAGGTGTAACACATTTGGCGAAGGATTGTCCAAACAAAAGCAGCAGTTCAATGTCCGCTGGTAGATCTGCTCACTCATGTAAGTTTTCCATCCGAATTCCTTTGTTTTTCCTTGGAGTTCCTGGGAGTTTTCAATTTACTTGTTCAGTGTCTAATCTTCTCACCAAGAAATTAGTAGTAGACTAATTTGACATAAATGCTCAAATTGAGGCATATGTTTCAAGCTTTTCATCATGATGATCTGGCAGTGTTCTTAGTTTAGTGCCTTTTCTTTTTCAGGGAAAGAAAGTGATCTTCCAAGAGGAAAGGTTACCAAATTTCTGAGTGGAGACGATCTTGAGGATGATTTCAGTTTCATAGATGAGAAGAAAAATGGCGTCACACAAGACAAGTCCGCTGGTACAGTCTGTCCTGTTTCTCTTTCACAAGAAAGCACTGTAAAATCAAAGAAGAAACAAGGACCCAAAGTAGTGAATTTCGTTGGATAGGGATGTTTCACATATGTAGAAGAAATTCATGTCAATTTTCAGTCTTCCCTTGTATGGCACCGTCCACGATTTTGCCGTAGGTCTAAAATAGTCTGACAGTGTTGAGAAATGATTTTTGTAGTTCTAAATGTAAAAAACCTTGAATCGTTAATCTATTTACCGTAATTTGTTTCGAGTTATTTTGCCTAAGATAATGACTTTTCATTTCTTTGGTGTATAAACGTAGTTATGGAGACGATTAGTTGTGGACATGATCAGCCACAGAAGCTTTAGAGAATTCTCAGCCTTTGTTTTGCCCCTTAAAATTCTCTTCCCCTCCGCAATTTTCTGGTCTCAGCCTTTCCCCCCAAAAACAAGGATTTCTCCTTCTGCTGCTAAACTTTCCATCTCTCTTTCTTTTCCGGCCTTCTTCTTCATTTCGCACTACACTCCGTCTCTTTTCCGACGACAAAATGGTATGTCTCAACTCTCTCTCTCTCTCTCTCTCAAAACAAATTAATGACTTAAAATGGTCAAGATGCATGTTACAATTCTTTAGTGGGGATGATCTGAATTGAATTTTACGTCGTTTCCCTCAAATATGTATTATGTACAAGGTTTTTTATGAAAGGTTGTTTGGTTGGTTTGGTTTGGGGTAGGCGTCCGGCATGGCCGTGAATGATGAATGCAAGCTCAAGTTCGTGGAGCTAAAAGCGAAGAGAAACTATCGATTCATCGTATTCAAGATTGACAAACAAGAAGTGGTGGTAGAGAAAGTTGGCAGCCCAGATGAAACATACGAGGATTTCGCGGCGTCACTGCCTGCTGATGAGTGCCGCTATGCTGTCTTTGATTTTGATTTCACCACTGCTGAGAACTGCCAGAAAAGCAAGATTTTCTTCATTGCATGGTAATCAACTGACTCGGCTAATTTGTTTAGTTCCTTCCTTAATTAACCTTCATTTTCTAAGGTGCTAATGTTATGCATGAAACTTTATTTTCTCAGGTCTCCTGAGACATCAAAGGTGAGAATGAAGATGGTGTATGCAAGCTCTAAAGATCGATTCAAGAGGGAACTCGACGGCATTCAAGTCGAGTTGCAGGCAACTGATCCGAGCGAAATGAGCCTCGACATTATTAAAGGCCGAGCTCTTTAAGTTTAAGCAGCAGATCTTCGACCCTTCCTTGACAATTACATTTGTCTATTTTTCTGAGAAGACATTTTGTGTTTATAATTTTTTCTTCTTTTTTATTTGTTGTATTGGTTCAATACCAACCATGTAGTTTAATGTAATATTATGGATTCTTTTATCAATTTGCAACTTCTTACATCATTGTGTTTAATCTAGTCAATACGATGTTTTATCTCTGCTTCAGAAATCTCAAAGTACAAATTCAAGCAGTCGAAAATTCACAATTGAGATCAAGATGACTAGATCCTCACAAGAAAAGAAAATTAAATTTTGATGTGTTTTTAGTGGAAAATCTTTCTGCTAATAACATCCAGAAAGGAGTAATACCTTAGAAATATGTTAAAGTTGTAAGTACCCAGAACTGGTCGTCTACACCAATACATATATATGTGCGTGTATATAACCCTCTCTATGACTGCTCCTGATGAAACTCAAAGCTTGAATTTTTATTGGTTAATTCAGTTTGTACTTCGAATTAATTCAAGAGGAAGAAGAAGATGCAGGAGAACGTGAGCAGTGTTTTTTTTGTGCAGCGTCACGCAATGCGCGCCCTAGGCGATCGCCTCTTCCGGCTCTCCTCAGGGCCGGCATTGCCCTGACATCAAAGGAGAGTGGTAAAGAGTATTTCTATTTTTCTTTCAGTTCCCGTCTTCTTTCTTTTCTTTGTTGCAGCATTACACATGGGATTCTATACAAACTCGGAATAAGGTGATATGATTCAAATATGATATTTTTTAGTGAAAAATATTTCTGCTATCCGTAGAAAGTAATTACACAACAAAAATAGTGGAAAATCATCAGCATACATCAGTCTATATAACCCTCTCTCTATGATTGCTTACTCTGATTTTCCCAGTAACTTCTCTCCCACGTTTCTACTTGTTTGATTGAGTTTGATTGTCTCCTAAGTACTGCAAAAAGAGTTGCTGGATCGTAAGGCGGAGGCATGGCGCATGGATTCCTCTCGGCAGGACCCTTCACCAGAGATTGCATCATAAATTTCTTCTCTAATCCTTGCAATTTCTTCTCTAATCCTTGCGCTTGGCAAACCATTGCCTCCGAGCAGAGCTCAACCGCTTTTCGAGGTATGGTGGGCTTGAACTGTAAGAGCTTTGAGTATTCGCTTAATAGATGAAACATGTAGTCGTACACATAGTCCATCTTCAAATCCTCGTGAATCATTTTTCTTGCTGCCTTTCCAATGGATTGTGCCTGAAGAAACCACAGAAAACCAATGCAATAAGAAAAACGAACACAGAAATCTGCAGAAAGAGCCTAATACTCGAAATTATTACCTTCTTCTTATGACTGTTGCCCCAATCAACAGCAAACTTAATAGATCTGCACTTGTCATCATCTTTTATGGGCCAGTAGTGGTGCACTGGCATCAAACCTCTCGTGAAGAAATCATAGTAACGGGGTTTTACTATAAAGGTAACAGAATCACATGCAAGAATGTATTTTTCACTCACAGACCAAGCAGACCCTTCTATGTAGATCTTATACCTGCAACGATTGTGCATCGAATAAAAAAAAAGTCAGGCAATTAGTATAGTGGATCATAGATGTTGACTATAATTAAAGCAGGTGGTTGTACATAGTACGCCAAATTAAACTCCTACTGATAGTGGGATGTTTCTACCTATGAACGCATTGGCTTGCCAAATCCGATTGCTTGAAACCTTCCTTTAATTCTTTTAACCAATCCTGCAATTTATTTATGAAGAATACTGTCAGACTCTGAACTATTGCTACATATTGTCAGAATTTTTCTACTAAACTGCAAACTGTAGGAACAGTTAACCAAAGAAGAAATTGGTTAACGAAACTGTTGCTATAAAAGGCAGATTAGAGGTGCAATAGGAAGTTAGGAACAGTTAAACGAAGGAGGAATTGGTTAATGGTACCTGAGCATAAATACGAGCATTCCAGTCCATCTGGTCGGAAACATTACATTTGACGAGGTCTTTCCTGGTTTCAGCAACAGATGGATTTCCCTTCCAATAAGCATACGGTTCTCTGTCTATCCATTTGCTCCTCTTGTTGCCTTCCTCTAGGTCCTTTAACAAAAGCTCCCATGGCTTTATATTGATCTCAGACCTACAAAACGAATGCGGGAATCTACAATGAGTGCACAATGAGGACTGATACACAATGAGCGACCGTGTACCCAATTGGATAAATTCATTCGCATCACTACCAGATTAGCGATATGTTCACTTAACTTGTAGCACAAGCCATGAATTATGATATCAATGAGAAACATGATTTCAAAAGCAAAAGAAAAGGTCAAGAAGTCTTACCATCCCCAAAATGACCAATCAGGGAAGACAATATCGAGTGAACTGTCATCACCGCAGTAGCGAAACAAGGGTGGCGGAGCAGTGGAATTGGGCCGGCTATAGATCCTTGATAAAATGACGGGCCAGTCAACGCAATCAAACATGAGCTCCAAATCAGGCACTTTCCCAGGATACCTCCGTAACAATTGTAGGATCCCCCACAATGTAAAAACGTCTCTCGTCTGAAACGAATTCTGATATGTCTCCACGTAAGCCTTGCCATTCATGATCACCAACTTGAAATTGGCCGTACTCTTGGCACTCTGTACCATGTCTTTCGTGATCCCTGTATGCGCCCATGGCCTTAGGTCCTCGTATATCCAACGGAAGTACTCCGGACACGTTGGTGGTGGTGATGGACTGTCGGGACCTTGCTCTGGGTTGAAGGTGGTAGGATAGTTTGATGGGCAGGTTCGTGTCAGGTCGTAGGCAGTGCAGTTGAGTGGGAATTCCAACTTGGGTGGGGGCTTTTTGGGAATATTAGGAGTTTTGTGAGGGTAATTTTGGGATGCTCTGGTCGTTACGATTGAACCTTGTGCTGAAGTATCAATTATAGTCTATTTGTCACACCAAACAGAAAAAAATTACTCACGTCACATAATAGTCCAATAGTATATTGACGAATAAACCGAAAGAGGTAAGAAATTTGTACTATGTTCCCTATAAAACACAACACCAAAGGTCACCTTCCAATATTTTCTCTAGGCAAAGTATGAGTTTTTTTTGGTTGAAAAACGGGGGCTAAAAGCAAGAGCCTAAACAAACCTACTCAATAATAAATCTAGATCAGGACATTTCAAATCGATCGTCACGAATAAAACTAACTGAACAACAAAAAAGAGTATCAAAATAAAAATTACCTAAATCTAAATCAAGACTATAGATCACTAAACTGTCCGCCATAAAGAGAAAGTATGAGTTTTTGTTACTAGCTAAGTTTCACTTTGATTCATGCAGTTTCAATTGCCACGACTTAAGTTAATGGCTATCACATTTACAAAGTTAAATTGCTGTCGATGAGTGACCAAGGATTCACAGCAGAGAATAAATGAAAGTTTTTTAACGTTTTAATCTCAACTTAGATATCAAACTCATGGGAAATAAGCATGCATTCCCTTGTCACCTAATAACTAGGAAAACATTTTTGATGTCACAGTTAGTATATGACTTTAAATAGCAACAACTGAAACTATAAACACCAAAAGCGATTTTGGTCAAATTGATATTGTATTCCAAAAACATCAGATATGTGCTTTTTGCAGAAAGCATTCAAGTGTTTTTTCAAGATCCATTTGAATTTCTACTAAATGATTGGTTTGAACAATATTTTTACCAAAAATACTTTCAATCTTTTAAAAGCACTTTCAATCTATTCCATAAATCTTTTTTGGGTGAATTAGCAACTTAAGATTAACATAAATTTCAAATGAAGAAAATGAGGCGGTGCACAACAGCGGGTTCTACGTGCTGGACTACGTAGTCAACAGAACACGTGGCCCATTAACGCACAGTCCCACACCACGTTAACCGACACTCACGGCACATGTTAAGCAGCCCTACATTAATCCGAATCCTTACCGAATCTTCTTTGTGAGAATTCCGAAAATTCGTGAATTGTGTTTGTTCATTGTATGTCATACGATCAGAAATTATTTGAAATATTTTATTTAAAATTAAATGCAGATAGTACCTAATAAAAATTGATCGTCTAATATACGATGAATAGACACGATGCATGAATTTTCAAGATTCTCCGGATCCTGTTGGTACATTATTATATCACAGCGTACTATGGATTCATGCCGTTTGACAGACGTCGTTTGGCTTTCGTACTTTCTAGCCCTAGTTCTTGACATTACCATATGATTGCGCACTTAAACTTTCTTATTTACGAAAATATCATTAAACTGTAATATTGTAATAAAAAGACTCGTCTCCGTTAGACCACAGTCCAACTTCCATCTATTAAATTCTCTAAGTAAGAAAAATAATACTTCTTCAACTTAATGGTTTATTTTTTACTACCAGACTACCAGTAAAGTAATAAAAATAAAAATATTAATAAAAGACCGGGAATGAGTTATTTGGACAAAAAAATAAATAAATAAAAGAGCAGGAAATAAAAAATGAATATTGGAAACAGGTGAGTCAGAAACAGTGTGGAGCAAAGAGACTTACAGGGAAGTTGAGAAGGCGCGTACAGACAAAAGCGCCCAAGCTGAGGAAGACGAAGACGAAGACAGCAGAAAATCTCGCAGGTGACTTCATAAATGGCCGCAACAAGAAGATAGCTTCGGAGAAGTGACTGTACAAGCACCTCTGCATGCTGTCGTTCTCTCTCATATATATCTTCTCTGCATACACTCTTAATTACTCTTTTGCCCTCCCTCTTGTTCTCCGAGAACCATGATTCTTATCCCAAGTTGCAATCAGATCCCAGGGATTTGATCAACTGGGCAGGTGGAGGAGCTGGTTTCCTGAAATGGGTCGGGTTTAGTTTTGGCTGGTTGAAGCGGTATGGAGCAGATGAAGTTGGCGCATCTGGTTTGGAGCTAATGGAAAAAGGTTGAGTTTTTGTTGGGTAACTGTGTGTGGAATTTGAAATAATACCAGAAGAAGTAGAAGGAGGAGGCAGAGAACTTGCCTAAGAAAATGAAATGAGATCTAGTCTTGTAGATCGTGAGGAGTGAGAGAAGTTGCCTAAGAGAATGGAGAAAATGACCAAATTGAAAAGGATTGTTTTGGTAATAGTAGATCGGAGACTGAGAGAAGAAAAGGAAAGTTGGATCGGAAAAGGACAAAGGGGAGAGATGGGGGAATAAGAACACAAAGGTGAAGAGTCAATACATTTTACAAAGTAGAATGTGGCTCCTCTTTTGGTGTTTCATATTATTCTTCTTTTACCAACATTAGGATCCATTTACAAAACTTTCTAAATTTACGAATTTAGTACCCAACTCTCTATTAGTATCTATTTTCATTTTTCACCATAATTTGTAGGGTAAATAAATAAAGGGTAGAAGAAAAAGAAAAAAAATTATGCATAAATCATTTTGCAAACCGTTTATGCAATTTGTTTTAAAGCTCGTTTGAAAGTGTTCTTAAAAATGATTAAAAACGTTTTTAGAGAAAATATTTTTGGGTTTTAAAAGCACTTGAAATGCTCTTTACAATAAGCATTCATTTCAAGTGTTATTTTAGGATTTACTTACATTTTTACTATTTATTGATTCCAAAAACATTTATACAAAAAACGTTTTTAACTATTTTAAAGGTATTTCCAAACATTCTCTTAATTTATTTGAAAATTTTCATTTTTTGGCTACAAAACGAAGTTGGTTTGCTTGAAATTTATTTTCTTAGTGCAAATTTTCAAATCCAAACAAAAGTTGGTTTGCTTTAACATATATCTTGTTCTTGTTTTAGGAATTTTAGTTGTGTGATGGTAATTGACAGTCTCAATTATTTGTTTTATTTCAATTCTAGCAAAACATAAATTATGATCCATTATTATTACATTAAATGAAAACGGACTTAAGACAAATGGCGTTACGGGCCTTTTGGCAAACTCTTCACCTTTTAATGAACGTTGAGACTCTCTCCTTGTAAGAGACTTTCTCTCAGTTTGAGAGTTTTTGTCATTGTTTATGTGAGAACTTCAAATTTGTACAGATCTAATGGCGCTAATCCTAACTTCGGCTAAAGTTGGTTAGCCGTTCTCCCCTTCCCCTCTCATTGTCTCATTTTCCACCCTTCAACTGCGTTTTCCCATGCTCTCTATTTCGATTTGCCCTTTTCTTCCCATCCCACATGCGTCCCTCTTCCTCGTTCATCCTTACTCCTATCTGCAATCCTGCTTTACTGAGATGGTGTGTAGAGCTTCGGTGCTTGCACATGCTCGGGTGTTCCTAACACCACCACCTTCTCATCTTTGTCTGCCTTCACCAGCAGTGTTGTTCGTGGGTTCCCACAAACTTCTTTCTTCTAGCAGCTGGATTTCTTCATCTAGCTGTTGGGTTTCTTTAATTGAGGTTGCGTACCTGATGGTGCTTGGAGTTGGATGTTACGATCGACGAGCTACCGTGAGGTTGGAGCAGTGAAATTGGACGGATCGTGCTGGAATGTTGCAGCCGTGGCTGCAGTCGATTTCTCAAACTGTTTTTTTTTTTTTTTTTTACCTGTTATGGGCTCAAATTGTTGCTTGAGCTGTGCTTTTGTTTGTTTTTCTTTGGCCCATTTTTTTCTTGTTCATATACTAGCTTTGGGCCCTTGGTTTGTGTTTGTTTTTAATGTTTGTAAAGTTTGTGTTTTTGTTTTATAATAAATGTTACTCTATGAAGCTTTGACCAAAAGAAAAAAAAACTCTTTACCTTTTAAATTGGACTTTATTTCGTACATGTGGAGCCAAAAGTTGTTTCCTTTTAATACATTATCATAGACCCATTCATCAAATTACAGTACCATCCTTGTCTTGAAACTAGATAGTACAGAACATGGGGCTGGCTTTACCAGAATCACGCTTATTTTCTGCAACTTTGGGATGCCTGGAAGCACTTGGCCGTCACGGGTTATATCGTACTTGAGTCACATGATGAGAGTTATACTTACACAAAATATACCTCGGTAATATGTAAGAATCTGCATATGGAAGCTAGCAGGGCTAGCACCAAAAGCCTTTTCTTTCTGAAAAGAATCGTTGTCATGATTAACTTATCTCACTCAATACGTAATTAGTGAAATAGGATGATACTGATACATATCCGTGATTAGATGTAAAAATTTCACAACAAAATATATTGACAAAGTGTGGATGTTTTGCAGATTGTGGAGGTGAGAGTTGCAAACCTTGATTGTGAAGGATGTGCTTCCAAGTTGAAGCAAGCTCTCTCCAAACTCAAAGGTACACAAACTAATAAACAGGGTATTTTTCTTCATTGCTTTTGAGCCCCATATTATGTAATTCTTTCCACTGCAAATACATTAAATAAAGAATAAGTCGTATTGTACATAAATCGCAGTTTAGTATCTATTTCATAACGTCTTAGTCTTCCTTAATTTGTTTATTTTAATTAAAAGTTCGTAACTAGTTTTATTCATATATATTTTCCTTGAAATATTAGATGGCACCCAACATTTCAAACCAGAAATTTCAAATTATTAAAAATGTAATTTTCTATTTGAACAGGTGTAGAAGAAGTGGAAGTAGAAATGGAGATCCAGAAAATAATAGTGAGGGGTTATGTATTGGAGGAAAATAAAGTGGTGAAGGCAATTAAGGGAGCTGGAAAAGCAGCAGAGCCATGGCCTTTTCCTAGATACTCTCGGGCTGGTTTGGTATTGATGTGATTTGAAAAAAAAATTGTTTTTGTTGTGCTATAAGAATAAGCAGCTGTGAAATAAAGCAGCAAAGTGTTTGGTAAACTTTTTTGTAAAAGTGCTTTTATAAAAAAAAAACAGTATTATAGTGTTTGGTAAACTTTTATGTAAAACATATGTGAAAAAAACTTGGTTTTTCAAATCTAGGTTTTGCAGCTTCTTGTTTTTGATTTTTTTTCACCAAAAAATGTGAAAAAAAGCTGAAGCTGAATGTTTACCAAACACAAAAACAGCTCTCGACTTTTTTTTATACTAACTTTTTTCAAAATCACCTCAGTACCAAATCAAGCCTCCCTTTACCTCGTTTTACAAGTACCCTACCTACAAGTAGATAGGCTTGAAAATGCTCTTACAGGCATAATTTTTTGCCTCGTTTTACAAGTACCCTACCTACATTGTCAACCGTTACTAAGACACTTACAAGAACGAAACCAGCACCGGCGTCCACACCTTCTTCCACACTCCGTCGCATTCCGTCGCCGTGGCATCCGATGAGGCCATTGCTTCACTTTTCAGCGACGACAATCCGCATGCTTGCGCAATCATGTGATTATTATTATTTTTTTACATTTTGTTCTTATTTAATTTGTTAATTTTGTACTTGTTTTTTTAGTGCTTCTTAATCTCATACTTTGGTCTGAGTTGTTCACTACTTATTTTAAGTAGTTTAAATTTTAAGAGTCAGTATGATAATTATTTGATGTTTAATTTCCAAAATCGAATTTGTTTGACCTTGATAAATATATATCCTTCTATGGAAACAGTCAAAAGGTCTTTACCGAGAGAGCATCCTCGCCGGATCCTCTTTGTGAAGAGGATTCGGGTAATTCTCCAATCACATCCATTCATCGTACATCATGCAGTCAGAAATCATTGTAAATTTTTTTATCTAACAAATTTAATGGTTTAGATGCAATCTAATTAGTCCAATTAATTTAATTTATTTAAATAATTTTGGTTTGGCAACAAAATTCTAAAAACCTCTTGTAATTAAGATTTTTAATTCTCTATCCTATCTCACTAATTCTTTTTCATTAATTCTATCTTTCCTATTCAACTCTTTCTTCTCCCTTCCTTTTCCTCGTTCATCCTCCCCAGCTATCTTATCTTTTCAGTTCTCATCAAATATGTTATCACGGCATCCAACACATCCAGAATCATTAAACCAAAGAAAAGAAAGGAAAAAAAAAAAACAAAAATAGGGACACTATCGTACTTTTGATTATTCGTTGAAGATACTTGTACGATATATATTTAGACACGCAAACTGATCACATTCCCCTCTCTACTACAGATAAATAGGTCCTCCGTACAATAGTAGAACCCACCCATATTAGAGTGTCAAGTTTACATGCTTTGCGTCTAAAGAGCTTCACCATTCCAATGGTAGCATGTTCCCTCGACAATTGACTCGTTGAACCAATTAACCCTACATGGGCCTGGAGGATATATACTCCACTGGAACTTACTAGCACGGTCAATATCTCTGTCGTCGTTATATACGTTAAACCACTTAAATTGACCTGGCCATGTAAAACCGCAGTAGTATAATGTTGCGCCAAGGAAATGAGGAATAAAATCGAATTCCCATGAACTATTGAAGGGGATCACTTTCTCACCAAGATCATCGTTCTTGGATTTGCAGTGAAGGGTAAGCGTGAACAGAGTTCCGTTCAGTTGCAATAAATTTTTCACTCTTACATGTCTTCTTTTCCGATGAATACTTATACCTGCATCGCATAGGGTTATTGTAAGCAAAAACAGCGCTAGCACTAGATTTCTTGTGAACAAATTCATGCTAGCTATTGCTTGTTGGTTTGAAGAATTTTATGTGGGTGTGAATTGAAACATCAAGGATGCATCGTATATATACTCGACAGGTTCCGTGTGCTCTCAACGTTGACAGCGTCTGATTTCCATGGTTATGGAAAGTTTTAAGGAAAATTTAGAATGCTATTTGCTCTCAATTGTATCCACACAACGATCAACTCCCTTTACCTTGATTTCATCCACATTCGTCATGCCTTTCACCAGCTGTGTCAACTATTTCATTTTTTTCTTCTTATTATATTGGTTCTTTCTATATTAATCACAAATAATTGTAGGTAAGGACAACAACAATTATTTTTTACAAATTAGTTAAACAAGTAAATGAGGAACATAAAGATCTCTTTTGCTAATCATTCCATGTATACATATATACTAGATACTTAGCACATGCATACTGGTCTATCTTTATCTTTTTCAATGCATCATGAATTTTTGAATCAAAAAATAGTATTCGTCTTCACTTG